CGCTCGTCTCCCTCGATCCCGCTCGTCTCCCTTGCTCGAAGGGATTCTCCCTTCCAGCGAACCGAAAGCTCCTCCTCATTCGCCTCTTCCGCCCTCGTCTTCTTTTCCTCGTACGATCCGAAGCCCACTGCTCGCTTCTTCTTGCTCGACCTCGTTCGTCTGCTCCATCTCCTCTCGCGCGACCAGAACCCCTGCTTGCGCCTCTCTCCTGCGTGACAGGTCTCGCTCCTCTCTTGCGCCCTGAAACCCTGCTCGGCTCTCATCTCCTCTGCGTCGAATCCTTCGTCTGCTCCTTGCTCTCGCACGCCGCACAGCCCTTGCCGCTAGCCTCCGCTCTGTTCTTCGTTACCAGACCCTACTCGGCTCGCCGTCTCTCTCGACCGAGCGCCTCGCACTAGCTGGACTCCTTTCTTCCTCTGGACCAGGATCGCTAGGCCGATCTTCTCTCTCGCCCGCATTGGTGGTAGCAGGGGCAGAAAAGGAAGCGACACAGAACCCCTCAGAGCTTCTGAAAAGTTTTGGAGGGCAGAACCTTAACAATTGCACTAACTAGGTAACGAAGCCTTGTTTTGTTCCTATACTATTCATTTTATTTATACAATACATGCCATTTAGGAGTTAGGAAGATTTGCATACACATCCACTCAATTCATGTGCCTGAATTCCAATCTTTGTTGCATACATATATTATCTTACCTATATTTGGAATACATGTGCAAGCCTTTATGCAAATTTCATCCATGAAATGATTTCATTTGGAAAAACATATGAATTTTTTTATGTCATTCCTATTGAAATTCCTATACAAACATTGATAGAAATATAAAGTTCTGATGCTCTCGTCTGGAACGGTTTGAAAGTTTTAGAGTTTGTCATTGCGAAAATATGAAAATTTTGAACAATCTTATTTATGGAGATTTTGGAGACTTACAAATGCTGTTTTGAAGTAGTTTACGTACTGTTTTGATGTCTTTAAATGCAGACTTTGTGCCCCATTTAAATTCTGATTTTGAGGGACTTGTTGTTTTAATGTTGTTTGGAGGGTAATTAAATGATGTTTTGGGGACTGTTTTGGGCTGAGTTCGCTGCAATCTAGGAGACTGTAAACTCCTTTTCTTGGACTAATTACACACTGTTTGGGCATCGTTTTGGGGTGCGTTTGTTGGTTGATTTTGAGAGGTTTGCACACTGTTTTGAGCTTACATGAGAGCCGTTTGGGAATTTTAAAATTACTGTTTAAGAGCTGATTTTGAGATCTTTGTCTATTGTTTTGGGGCTGATTTTGAGAGCTTTGCCTACTGTTTTGGAGGCATTAAACCCACCATCTGCGGGGTTGTTTTAATCGGTGTTTTGAGGCATTTTGGTGGGCTAATTTTGAGGCAATCTACACATTATTTTGGCGAGATTTATGTAGCCTTTAAGTGCAGATTTACATGCGGTTTAAAATTGGTTTTACAAACCCCTTTTTGCCCACTATTTCGGATTTCAATTGATTGGTATTTAAACGTTTTTTTAGGTTGATCCACTCGTTATTTTCTCCTTGACTTTACTAGTTTTTTTAAGTGGGTCTACCTCATCCCTCTTTTGTTTTACTTCTTTTTGTTTTTAAATGGTTAAGTCATAAAAATGAGGATTGATGATTTAATTAATTGGAAAACATAGGAAACCTTAAATCACCTTAAGCATAAATTAAAACATAGGCTTCTAGACTTTTAGGAACACACCTTAAGTGAAAGCCCATTCACCTAATCTATTCACCTAATCCTAAATGTATGTTTCCTATAACTTTAGGTGCACACCATAGGTGAGAGCCCATCCACCTAATCCTAAATGTAGGTTTCCTATAACTTTAGGTGCACACCATAGGTGAGAGCCCATCCACCTAATCCTAAATGTAGGTT